TCCAGAAATACTTGTCGGAGGAATGGATATATCTAGATGTATTTTAGTTTTAGATACATCCATTTTTATGTATTTCTCCGACGAGTATTTCCGGACGGAGGGAGTACATCTGAGCCACAAACAAACCTACACGTTCGCTTAAAAGCATGCATTATTCCACTCACACCACCACCATCTGAGCCACGGAGCTAAGCCATTCATGTGTCCATCCACCAAATCACACAGAGAGAGATGGAGTTCATCGGCGTTGGGCTTGGCATGCTCTTCAATTCCATCTTGCCGCAGCTTAAGCAAAAGATGAAGGAATCAAAGCTAAAGAAGATTGCCATCAATAGTGACATTGAGGATTTCAGGAGGGAGGCCGAATTGCTGCAATCTCGACTTGAAGATGGCTACTCCCGGCATGAAGGTGCCCACAAAGCCAAGCTGCTGGTGATCAATGGGAATCTCAAAGTCTTGTGTCAAGATACGAACGACTGCATCCACCGGTTCCTGCGAAGGGGATCTATGGAGAGCTGCACGGACTTCGCAAAGAAGATCAAAAGATTCAAAGAAAAAGTCTACAAACTAAGCAAGCACACCAGAGAACTCATGGATTCGTTCAAAGAGCAGCACCTTGAACGCCCTTGTCAGTATGTTACTTCCAGCGAGTTCGTGGGCAGGCATGAACGCCTTGCTGAGCTGCAGGAGCTTGTACATGATCTACCCAGCTGCAAGCAGGAGGAGCCCAAGGTGATCTCAATCGTTGGCTTTGCTGGCCTAGGCAAGACCCTTCTTGCCAACGAATTCTATAATAGCAAGGAAGCCCTCGCGAAATTCCATCACCGGGCCTGGGTTACTGACGCTGGCAGCCATGAGGAGGTTGTCAAGAACATACTCATGGAAATTGACAAAGGAGGCAACCATGCTGAGGATGCCCTGGACCTCCAGCGCCTCTGCCACAGCCTGCGGAATTTCCTAAAAACGGCCACTGAGTAAGCACTCGTACTTCTTCAATAGGCTAATTAGTTGTTTTTCTTTATTTATTTTTTGTTGAGAAAAAGAACTTTTGCTCACCGGTTTAGCTAATGGAATCAAACTTCTTTCAACTACGTCAGTTTTATATGTAATGAATATTATATTAACTACAAAATAACTAGAGCGCATTTGCACGCCAAGATTTGTTTTCATATTATTCACCTCTGCGTTAATATTAATGCAACAATTACATCTTAGAAAGCATGATCAAACTTTGGTACACATATTTTCCTATTTTGTAAGGATTTGTTGACAAAGATCTTGATGTGTAACAATGCAAGGTCAAAAGCATTGGGGTATATATGTATAACACAATGCAAGTCCATTTGCTTAGATACTCCTTCTCATCCCTTGATTGTTTTCACAATTCTTTTATTTAGGGCTTTTAGAGAAAATCTAAACATTGATGGTTAATATCTGAAGTTCTGAACCTTGTTGTCCATTCCATCCTCTGCCTCACCTTTGGCCGCACTTCAGATTTTTTTATTAATATACCATATCAGTCGTTACCCATATGGTTCGATCTCTTCTCATCTTACTCTAATTCTCTATCTCCCTTTCTAAGCAAAATCAGCAGAATGATACCGAAACTGGTAAAATGTTATGCCACCTAAGCCCATCAGAACTTGTTATTTTCTGATAGAGCCCACAATATTGCTTTCTCTACTCGTTGCAGAAATAATATTGCTTTCTCTACCTAGCAGCCAAATGTTATTCGATCTAATATTTCTGCCACGGTACCGATGAAATGTTAAAAATCATAGAAGAAGATTGTAGCCATAATGTGTAGTTCAAGAAAACACAATCGGATCCCAGATAAGAATCTTTGTATTAAGTGTATCTACATTATGTATTTTGTAAAAGAGTATGTAGTAAAATCTTTGTCACATGAAGCAATCTTCTCAAACCCTGTAGGATCCAGCTGTAACACAGTGGTTTCTCCTCGCCTTCCAAGTTGTTGTTATTTTCATATGACAAACCTTCTTACTTTTAATATACAGATAGTCTAAGCTTGCATGTTGTTTAGGAGGTCACCCAGTATTTTCAAGTGGAGAACATGTGGTAACCTTATTTTGCCTATTTGTCATGTAGGTACTTAATTGTAATCGATGACATGAAGAGGTGGAAGATGTGGAACGATATAAAATATACCTTCAAGAATGTGAAAGGCATAGTCCTTGTGACGACAACCATTCAGGAAGTAGCTAACACTTGCAGCCAAGGCACTAATGGTTATGTGTACAGGTTGTCACCCCTTGATAAGGAGGAGTCTTTAAAGCTGTTCACAATAGAATGTGGTCATAAAGGGGATCCCGGTCATGCAGATTCTCATTATGCAAAAGAAGTATTGAAGAAATGTGATGGTCTACCACTTGCTATAGTCGATGTGGCCAATTATTTGCAGAGTCAGGGAGTGTTGACAAGTAGTCGATGTAATGATGCTTGCAGAGATCTTGGTGCCTTTCTGGTACAAGTGGATGACTGCAAGTTGGAACGAATGCAATCGGTGCTTATGAATATATACACCGGTCTGCCTGGTGCTCTCAGATCCTGCTTGCTATATTTTTGCATGTACAAGAAAAACATAGCTGCAGTCCCCAAGAGGAATTCTCTGATGTGGCGATGGCAAGCCGAAGGATTTGTTGATGTAAAAACTGGATGTGAATATTTGAATACCCTCATCAACCACAATATCATTCAGCCCATGGAAGTAGGCACAAATGGAGCTGCAAGGAGATGCCGTCCTCCTGGAATGGTGACCGAGTACATTTCCCAGATTTCCAAGTCCGAGAATTTCGCTGCTTCGGGGTCTGATCTAGTAGAAACGCCAAACAGTCGCATCCGACGGCTTTCTTTGGACCCTGGCAGTGCTAAAGATGAAAGAATAATTTCGGGCATGGAATTAAGTATAGTGCTGACCATGGCAGTTTCAGGAGAAGGATGCAAAGAAATTCTTGATTTCAAAAGGTATGAGCTAATTGCAGTTTTGGATCTGAAAGAATGTACAAACCTGGACGAAAGTCATGTCATACATATATGCAACCTGGTGCTCCTGAAATACCTCAGCCTCGGGGACAGTATAGATGAGATACCCAAGGCAATAGCGAACCTGGTACTGTTAGAGACACTGCAGATGAGGAGGACAAGAGAAACAGTATTGGTGCATAGACAAGTCTTGGAGCTACCCAACTTAAAACATCTCCTTGGAAACTTCAAGCTTAAAACAAAGCCAGATAAAGAGCTATGTGATTTCTTGGAGAAAAAGAGTGTCCTAGAGATGATTACAGGTTTTGTGACAGAAACTAGCAAAGGATTTCCGAATCTGATGTGCCATATGATGCAGTTGAGGAAGGTGAAAATAGTTTGCGATGCCAGTGTCGACCAAGAAAATGTCAGAGACAAGAAGGGCAAGCAAACAGATGACAATGACAAGGATCTTGCAAGGGCGATCAAGGAATTCATTCATAGAGGCTCAGATACCCTCGGCTGTTCCCTATCAATGGACTTCGGGAATGACGCCGGGCCTGTTAGGATGGCACCACCCCTGGAATTCCTAAAATGTTCCGGCAGTCTTGACTCTCTCAAATTGCGCGGCGGCTGGGGAACATTCCATCTGCCTCCTGAACCGTTTACAACAATAACTGGTATTACGAAGCTGTGCCTTTCACACACTTGCAAGAGCGGGGAAGATATCCTTGCCACTTTGACTGATATGATTACACTGGAATATCTGAAGCTGGAAGAAGTAAATCTGGGGCCCCTAAGGATAGAATCAGGAACTTTCCGAAGACTGATGAGGTTATGCCTCATGGGCGAGACAAGCAGCAAGCAAGGCGAGGGTATTACAATCCAACATAAAGCTCTGTCCAGTCTTGTCTCACTTCATCTCATCTCTAAAGCTCCCATCTTTATAGTTGAAAAGCCTCCCAACGGGCCAGAGCCTCAGGTTAGAGACCAGATCACTGTAGTTGATGCCCACATCTCTAAAGGTAATAAAAGTAAAGGCAAGGAAGTCCAGTTTCCGATTGGGGCAGAGCCTCACGTTGGAGACCAGATCTCTCAATCTGAAGATAAACAAGTCAAGCTTCACATGGGATGCCTCGGATGCCTCGAGGAAATCGCACTCGACTCTGGAGTCACACCAACCATGCACGATGCCTGGAAAAGAGCTGCAAAGGGGCATCCTAACAGGCCTGGCGTTCTGTTGATTCACAAGGCCGCTCGTATTCCTCCCAGTTCCAATGCATAATTAAGCACGGTTAGTTTCGTTTTACCTACCTACCTCCTTCTAGCTAGCTGCTTCCTAAATCATGCATGCATCCTTCATTTGTATCCTTTGTCAAATCGTACTCTTTCATATTCTGTGCAGTGCAAAACGTTGTATTCATCATACAGATCGGGGCAGTGTTGATGGATGCTTCAGTTTGGATATGTCCCGTCATGTGTGCTTCCTGTCTTTTCATGATCAAGTTTACCACGTTGTTCGCCTTACCTTTCACAAACTACTCTAGTGCTTGTGCTTCTTATTGTATCCTTTTTGTTTTTGTGAGAGAGAGATGGACGAAGATATGCTTGCAATTGCTGTATTTTTATTATATTGTGAAAAACTTCTTTCTATTGTTGTATCTTTTTATTATTTTGTGGAACATTGAATGCAATTGTTGTATCTTTATTATGTTGTGGAAGAAAACTCGCTATTGCTGTACTTGATTATATTCCACTACGTAATTGTCTGTGTGTTGCAACAGACCATAAATATTTTAATGTTTCAATACCAACTGTGTCAAATCACATTTACATGCCCATGCATATCAAGCAACATTTTTACATCCCATGCACATTGGCCGCTCTCATTCAGCCATTATGGTTCCTGAATCCGGCTTGCCCATCTGAATGACAGCTACGTCCCGGTCTTGAGCTATTGGGGTAGATAGCCGATCTTCACTGCATCTGGTCTTGAGCTCTTGGGGTAGATAACCGATTTTCTTGTGAAAGCTTTCCTGCAAAGCCAGTCTCCCGTGGAACACTTGTGAACATTAGCCCCACGGGTACCAAACATGGCTCTGATAAACGCTAGGTCCCACAATGGGCGTCGACTGTCGTTGATATTTTCCTGACAATGAGTATAGGGGGTGTACCGAGAGGCATAGAGGCTACCGAAAGTACAAATGGATACACACAAGGAATTATAGAGGTTCAGACCGTCAGCAGTGGAGGTAATACCCTACTTCCTGTTGGTGCTTTCTCTCACCTATAGTGACGGTTCCTGGACTAGGGGGTGTTGAGGGAGTCCTGGATTAAGGGGTCCTCGGGTGTCCGGTCTGTTCAATATGGGCCAGGGCTGATGGGCCGTGAAGATGAAGCAAAGGTCATCCCCCGTGTCCGGGCAGGACTCCTTTGTGCGTGGAAGACAAGTTTTGGTGTCCGGGTGTAATATTTCCTTCTTCTGCAAATCGACTCTGTACAACCCTAGGCCTCTCCTGTGTCTATATAAACCGGAGGGTTTTAGTCCGTAGAGGCTATCAGAATAATCATAGGCTAGACAGCTAGGATTTAGCCATTATGATCTCGAGGTAGATCAACTCTTGTAAACCCTATACTCATCATATACAATCAAGCAGGACATAAGGTTTTACCTCCTTTAAGAGGGACCGAACCTGGGTCAACATCGTGTCTCTAATGTCCCTTTACCATCGATCCTTAGACGCCCAACTTGGGACCCCCTACCCGAGATCTGTCGTTTTGACACCGACAATGGTGCTTTCATTGAGAGTTCCGCTGTGCAGTCATGAAAAGCGATCGGTGGCTCGCCCTTTCATCAATGACGATATCACCTCTAGAAGGAGCCTGACTTTAGGGTAGGTCCTCCAGCTCGGCGGTTTCACCGTGAGTGCCCACATGGCAATTACGCCAACGGTGTCTCCTGTGATCGCCAAGCACCAGCCCTACATCGGTCTTGAAGACTCCGAAAAGACGTATCTGATGGATGCCTCGTCCTTAAACGAGTTGCTAGATCGCATCGCCGCCCTGGGGCTTTCGACGGCCAATAATCGGATTGGGCTTAAACCTAATCAGGGGGAAGACAACCCGTCGCCGATCACTCACCTGGTGGCGGTCTTTGAGGAACTAGACGAAAACACTTCTTCTCCTAAGCTGGAGACCAGCCATGTTCAATCCTTCGAACCCCTTGAGCCGGATACCCTTCCTCTGGAGGGGACTCTGCACCTTCTGAGCTCAAGGACGGACATAGAGTCCGGAGAGCACTTGGATCCTCCTAGACCCGAACTGGCAACCATGGATATTTTCCGAAGTCCGGATACTATCCTGGGTCGGGATTCGAGTTTTTCCACACCCACCCACCACAATCAGTACACTCCAAGTAATTCCGGCCATCCAGATATATACGACTTGATGTATGTATGGCAGCAACCTCAGGAAATAGTCCATCACTTCTGGGCCAGATTCCTACTTGTTAAAAACAAGATCAAAGATTGCTGCGACGACGATACAGTTCCGATCTTTCATCATAATTATACTGACAAGGGACTGTTGAATGCCCTCAACCGTCGTCACATATAGTGTTTCGTGGAATTATCGCACTTGGTACGGAAGTATTGTGCAATGGAAAGCACATGGAAGGCCCAGAAAACCCATTTGGAACCTACTGCTTCTAGGCAATGCGCTACTCGGGCAAAACGGATACACTCTGACGGGACATCCGATCATAATCCCATTTCCAAGAAAAACAAACCCTTTGCTGGATGCAGGTCCGTCCTTGACGAACACCTCGACAAACCCTGTCCAGTACATGCGATTACAGGCATAGCCTCAACTCACAGCCTTCGAGCGTGTTGGGTCATCCAGCAGGTAGCTAAAAGCGGTGAGGCCATCCTCGCCCATCTACTCCAGAAAAACACTCTCCGGAGGAGGACGATTTTAATGTCCTTACGGTCTTGGAGACTTTCTCTTCTAATAATCAGCGTAAGAGAGCACTTTGCAAACTCGTCGAGGTCCACCAAGTAACCGCAGTAAGCCCTTGGAACGACTTGGCAATAACCTTCACTGCTGACGACGAACCAAGGGCCCGATCAGTCCGAGCACCCGCCGCTTTAGTACTAAACCCCATCAAGGACGGCTTTCGACCTACCAAAGTGCTCATGGACGGCAACAGTGGGCTTAACCTCATTTACGAGGACACACTCGAAAAAATGCAGGCCGATACGACCCGCATTGAGCAGAGCAATGCCGCCTTTTGAGGCATTATCCCCAGTCACGAAGCACGATGTTCGGGGAAAATTAAACTTGATGTAGTATTCGGCACGCCTGAAAATTACAGATCAGAGGAGTTACTTTTTCACATTGTTCCCTTCCATAGCGGATATCACACCCTGATACGTCTCCAACGTATCTATAATTTTTTATTATTCCATGCTATTATATTACCTATTTTGGATGTTTATGGGCTTTACTTTACACACTTATATCATTTTTGGGACTAACGTACTAACCGGAGGCCCAGCCCGAATTGCTGTTTTTTTTTGCTATTTCAGTGTTTCGAAGAAAAGGAATATCAAACGGAGTCCAAACGGAATGAAACCTTCGGGAGCGATCTTTTTGGAACAAACGCAATCCAGGAGACTTGGAGTGGACGTCAAGAAGTCAATGAGGCGGCCACGAGGGTGCCCGGCGCGCCCTAGGGGGTGGGCGCGCTCCCCACCCTCATGGGCCCCTCATGGCTCAACCGACCTACTTCTTCCTCCTATATATATCCAAGTACCCTGAGAACATTCAGGAGCACCACCAAAAACTATTTCCACCGCCGCAACCTTCTGTATCCACGAGATCCCATCTTGGAGCCTTCGCCGGTGCTCCGCCGGAGGGGGAATCGACCACGGAGGGCCTCTACATCATCTCCAAGGCCTCTCCGATGAGTTGTGAGTAGTTTAGCATAGACCTTCGAGTCCATAGTTATTAGCTAGATGGCTTATTCTCTCTCTTTGAATCTCAATACCAAGTTCTCCTCGATCTTCTTGGAGATCTATTCGATGAAACTCTTTTTGCGGTGTGTTTGTCGAGATCCGATGAATTGTGGGTTTATGATCAAGTTTATCTATGAGAATTATTTGAATCTCCTCTTAATTCTTTTATGTGTGATTAGTTATCTTTGCGAGTCTCTTCGAATTATCAGTTTGGTTTGGCCTACTAGATTGACCTTTCTTGCAATGGGAGAAGTGCTTAGCTTTGGGTTCAATCTTGCGGTGTCCTTTTCCAGTGACAGCAGGGGTAGCAAGGCACGTATTGTATTGTTGCCATCGAGGATAAAAAGATGGGGTTTATATCATATTGCTTGAGTTTATCCCTCTACATAATGTCATCTTTCTTAATGCGTTACTCTGTTCTTATGAACTTAATACTCTAGATGCAGGCATGAGTCGGTCAATGTATGGAGTAATAGTAGTAGATGCAGAATCGTTTCGGTCTACTTGTTTCAGATGTGATGCCTATATACATGATCATGCCTAGATATTCTCATAACTATGCACTTTTCTATCAATTGCTCGACCGTAATTTGTTCACCCATCGTAATACTTATGCTATCTTATGAGAAGCCACTAGTGAAACCTATGGCCCCCGGGTCTATCTTTTATCATATAAGTTTTCCATCTATCTTTTATTTGCAATCTTTACTTTCCAATCTATATCATAAAAATACCAAAAATATTTATCTTATCATATTATCTCTATCAGATATCACTTTTGCAAGTGAAGGGATTGACAACCCCTTTATCGCGTTGGTTGCTAGGTTCTTGTTTGTTTGTGTAGGTACGAGGGACTTTTGAGGAGCCTCCTACTGGATTGATACCTTGGTTCTCAAAAACTGAGGGAAATACTTACGCTACTTTGCTGCATCACCCTTTCCTCTTCAAGGGAAAACCAACGCAGTGCTCAAGAGGTAGCACGCCCTCCTAGGGCGGGACGCTTTCTCACGCTTCCAAGCCATACCCCATTATGGGTATATGAAGCTTAAAATGCCAGGGCCCAATGGAATAATCACAGTCAAGAGTGATCCGGATATAGCACTTCGTGCCGAAAACAAAACCGCATCCTTGGCCTTAGAGGCACAATCTGAAGCCTTTGCGGCCGAAGAACTAACCACCCTGCAGTCCATGGTGGACAAGGATGATGTGGTCCTCGACAAGAGGCCCAAATCCACCTCTTTCAGACCCACCTATGAAATAGTAAAATTTC